GTGACTAGTCCGATATAAGAAGTTGTGAGGTTTCAAGGACACCTGCCTTATCAATGAACATCCTAGGGCTTAGTCATTGATAAGAGTAGTAAGGATCCTTGGGTACCCGCCTTATTGAGGGTTAGTCAGTGATAAGAGTAGCAGGGGAATCCTGTCTTATCAGTGAATAGTCCGATATAAGAAGTTGTGAGGTTTCAGGGACACCTGCCTTGTCAGTGGCTAGCCACAGGATAAGCCTACCGCTAAAATGTGTTTGGCACACAGGGGCCAAGGCCCACTAAGTTGCCTTTGTCCAACAAAGCTCCAGTAACAGGATGGATATGTCCTGAATGGTCTGCCATACCGCCGCTAACTTTCCCCATAATCTGCATTGTTCAGTCCTAACTAGCTATTTTTGATTCTACTGAAAGGGGATAAGTGATATCTTGCCTTAGAGAAGGACTATCCATTCATCTGATTTCTTTCCATGAGAGTCCTTCCACCAGTTGGATTGAAGATGTGATCATGCATGTTGGAAGAAGGAAAGAGACCTCAGATAGGATAATCCCAAAAGGGATAAGAATGAGATAGTGAAAAAAAGTATGGAGAATTGCCGTGACAGTAAAAGGGAAGTGAACTGTTATTCACTACCTGAAGCGAGAGGGCAAGAGTCGACCTGATTAGATAGTCGGTCCGGAGAGTTAGCACCTCGGGGCTCAACAAACGGGTCAGTAATAAGGCGTTCTACCGCGCGTATGTCTATGCTACGACGATCGAGAAAAAACCCTCGGCTGGCATACCTCTGCGATTACATGTAAAAGCCTTCGTATGTGGGCTAGTAGCTCAGCAGGGATACTCCGACCTAAGGGATGGTGACAGCTCCCGCAGGTGGAGGTAATGTTGTACCTCGCGGGATCCCTAACCTGTTGTAGGGAGTCGCGAGAGGTATAGCATGCACGCACGGTCGGAGTTGGTATTGCGTAAAGTAACAAAAGGAAACTCCTGCATGACACGACCGTGAGGTCCGACACCAAAAACTACTCTGCGTATGGGTGTGGGACCGCCGCGCGCGACAGGTGGCGCCGTTTTCGGGGGTCTCTCTTCTAACCGAGGTCCTTAGTGAACGAACTCGGGTAAAGCAAGATCCAGGCAGAATGACAATTATTGAAGATTCGGTAATTAACCAAGACTCTAATAGCTGGTGACGAGTAGTTGCTCCAAGTAAATCGGTGAGTAAAATAGGGACTAAATACACATAAATACGATTGCCCTACTTATACTAGGAGTTAGCGAATATGGCACCTAAGGGGCGTGGGACAGGAACTGGTAGAGGAAGAGGCGGCAGACAAGGGAAGGCGCCTGAAAGGCCTGTAGACTTGACTAGAGATAGGGAAGAATGGAAAGTAGATGATGAAGGACTGGAAGAGAAGGACGAAGGGTTAAGGGCGAAACGGTATCGGGAGGGGAGGCGTATGCATACCCCAGATCCTGATGAGATGACTTACTATTCGTATAGGTACGCAAGGCATTACGGAGAATCTCCGCCGCGCTTCGAGCTGCTTAGTCAATCGCATCATAGCCCTTACCCACCATCTCAAGAGAGGCAGTTGGCTATCCTTTCCCCGCCTCACCAACAGGGGCCCCGCGGTGCACCAAGCGTGCCTGATCCTCCTGTAGTTGCGCAGTCTGCGTGTCCTTATAGGAGGATGTGCATATCACTTTTAATGTTTCTACTATGTCAAATAGAGATTTGTGGGTTAGTAACATACTTACTGTACAAAAAGATTATATAAAGGTTCAAAAGGATCAAAGGAGATATTGGGATAGAAAGGGGAATCAGTCAGATCTTGGGATTATAAGTCTACTAGCTAAAATAAAGGAGATGTGGGTTGGATTGTGTTGTATAGTAAGTGGAGTATACCAAAGAAAAGAAGATGGTTTCTGCTCGATATCAAGTCACGATCAGAGAGCCCGTGCAAATGAGGCGTGGTCTGATGATGAATCTGCCAAGTCGTCATGAGGAGAACGGAGAGACGGGGTATTGTTGGGGGATTACTGTAGAGGAACAAACTTTCATTTGGATCGAGTCTGGATGGGTTAGAGACAAAAAAATCGCGCAGTAGAAAGGGTTACCATATATCTTTCTGCGGAGAAATTGCAAACTATCATAATAAATTTAGTCTTAGGAACTGATCGATCTCTTTCCAGACTATTATGGATAGCAGAATCCGCACTCGAGTCTAGGGGAAGAGATGCAAGTTTGAATGGGTTTGAAGGAATGATAGGAACTGTGAGGGTAAGAAAGGCTAGCGAATTTCTTTCGCCAACAGCATATCTAAGAGGAACCCTTCCTAGGTTCATCGTAGATGCAACCTTCGGAGGGAGGACCAGAGTGGAAAGGGTTGCGGAATCCGCAATGGCAATACCTGAGAGAGAAAATCACGCACCTACCCCTCTGCTGGTATACTACATATACCTAAAGATAGGGCATTTGATTGAAGGAAGGGATCCTCAAGACATACTAGCAAGGGTCGATTCATATGCACGTCAGCACGATTGGGAAAATAAGCATGTCTACTGGGAGGAATTGAAACAGGGGATCCTCGATCAAATAGGAAAAGGTGCTCAAGGGAGACCGAGATGAGAGATTTGTTAAGAAATGGGGAAATTGAGCAGTTACTAAAAAGAGAAAGGTCCTTTCTTTGGCTGTTGTAACAGGTATACCAGGATGACTCCTTTAATGTGGTTTGCTGACCGGAACTTCCTGATCGACCTGCCTGAGCCAAAGGAAGGAGGAGTTAAAATGACACTACCGAAGAGGACAATAGATTTGGATGAGGAAATTGAGTCATGGTGCGGGATACCAATAGGACAAGAAGCCTTCCTTTGGATAGAAACTGGATGGACCACGAAGAAAAGGCAGGCAATAGTGAAAGTGACCCTTTATCTACCAGCCCTTCTCTGGAGGGCACATGCGATCGACCTTGCGATAGGAGAAAACCGCCCCGTCTCTAAATACGTGTTGATAGCCAGAATGACCCTTGACGCATTTACAAGGAGAATGTATTGGGGAGAAGAAGGGAAAGTTATAAAATCAATCAAAGCGAAGTGGGCCGCTGAGTTCGTATATTCAACAAGGTATATTAAAACCACGCTTCCGAGCTTCATAATTGATGAAGCATTTTGGGGGATTGAGAATGTAGAACGGGCAGTACTCGCAGCCCGATCTGTTCCAAAGATGGGCTTCGAATTCGAGGCTTCGGAAGTTGTTTACCGTCTATACTTAAAGATGGGACCGAAACTAGAGAATAGGGATTTTTATAAAATACTATGCGTGGTAAACACGTATCAACGCATTTACTGTTTGGAAGATCTCTCGACCTACTGGCGCAATCTTCGCCGGGAGGCATGTATCGAAGAATTTATAGATGAGATCTCTTCTTTATTTGGTATGGTTAGAAGCTTTTGGCATGGGGACTGGGTGCCCCTAGAAGAGATACTCGGATGAGAGAAAAGAGGTATGAAAAGTCATATAGCGTAAATAGTTACGTCAAGATAGTGACAAAGAGGGTGGATCAATGGTCGTTTTGTGTGTCTTAACAGGGTCTACGGTCTAGCAGGAACAAAGAAAGAAAAAGGGAAAGAGATGGGCGAAGCCAGCGCCAACGGAGATCCGCCAATCACCGTGGCGGAAATCGCCAAGTTGCTGGAGAAGAGGACGATAAAAAGATCTAACCTACCAAGGATAGACATCTTCCCATTCAAAGGGGATAGGGTGACGCATTGGTTGGAACTACTCGAGCAGATATTCAACCAACTGACCCCAGCCGATAAGTTTGCCCAATTGTTCGAATATGTATAGTGGGAATGCACCTCTGACGTGGAAGAGGTAGTAAAAAAGTCCAACAATGATTGGGCTGAGTTTAAGAGGGGCATGCAGAAGACATTTAAGCTAGGAGATGACCTGCTCACAATTGACCATCTCTATAACATGAACAAAGATGACTTCACCACGATCAGGACATTCGCCAGTACATTCGAAAAGACAGCCGAGAGGGTCTCGGGGCTGTCTGAAGAGATGCAGTGCGTCATTTTCCTAGGGAAATTCTCTGGGTATGAGGCAATGGAACTAACTCGAGGAGGAGCCGCTGGAGAAAGACAACCTGGGATACCATCAAAAGAAACATCGCGGCAGGAGACATGGACCAAGTGTTCCATCACCAAATCAAGGTCGAATGAAAGAAGAGAAAGGCAGTAGGGACGCTCCAAGGAACGGATAGTATACTTGGAGGAATGTTGAGCAATATGGCAAATGAGATAAAAAAACTTAGGGAAAGACTGGCCCCGTCGAAAGTGTTAACAGTGACACAACCATCAGGAAAGAGGAGGAAGGAAGAGGGAGATGGAGAGGAAGAAGCTGAGGAAGGGGAACCCGAAGGAACGAGCAAACTGACCAAGAATCAGAGGAAAGCTAAAAATATCGCTATCGGAGGACAAGGCTCAGGAAAAGGACAAGTTACTCAACAGGCGATAGTCCAGTATGGACATGAGCCATCAACAAGCACAGCGCAATATGGTCCGTGGGTCCGCCTATGGGAGCATGGTCTGGGTACTTCCCGGTAAGGCCATGGCCTACGCAGGGTCCGTATCCCATGTTACCCTAGAATCAGAATTTGGGAGGAGACCAAAACACAGGACACCTTCAACTAACAGGGCAAAACCAACCAGGATCGAGTCGTCAGGGTGGCCAAAACCAGAACAGGTCCCAAGGGCAAGGACAAGGACAAGGACGTGGAAGAGGTAGGAATGCTGGTAGGAATCAGGGACCAGGGGAACGAGGAGCAGGAAATAGAGGAAGTGGGTATCAAGGTGGAAACTGGGGACAGTTCCAAGGGGGTGCGAATCCGGTAGGGCAATAAAACCAACAGGGGTATGGTCGTGGTTACGACCAAGGCTATGGAAGGGGGTTTGGTAGAGGAAATGGGTCATGGAACGGACCGGGTTTTGGCAGAGGATGGATAGACTACAGCGAATGCATTTGTACCCACTGTGGAATCAAAGGGCACACAGTAAAGCGATGCCACTTCAGGAAACTTGACGGGCGCGATTGACTCATAACATCAAACATAGATGGCGAGATGTTTGACAGAACAGGAAGGCCGATCGATCCTGAGATTCGGGGAGGCACTAGAGAAGAGGCCCTTCGCATAGCCGCGCTGGGTCCCAACGCGCCGGGAGTGTTCAGAATGTGGCAAGAAAAGGGAGGACCAGAAGAAAAAATGAACCGGATGGGGATCGAAGGAAGCAAGGAAGACGTACCCCTCGTGGAAGAAGAAGCAGAAGAGGATGACGTTAGGATTACCGTTAGGGACACGTTTGATAGGATGGAGGATCTGGTGAATAAAATGCAAAGGCTGCAATTAAGACTTCAAGGGATATGTGAAGAAGCGGGGAAAGAAGGGGTTGGGTGCCCGAAAGTATTTACCATGGGACGTGGAGGATCGGGAGATGGGCCAAATGAGCCCAACCCAAGAATGTTGAGGGCCAACATGGCCGCAAAGATCAGTGGGGGTCAAAGAAGCGTAAGAGGAACAATTCCGTTCGCTACAAGAAGACCCGCAGGAGGGAATCCTCAAAAGGAACAAGCCCAGGCTTCCCAGCCAGCAGAAGAAGAACCACCTATCACGGTAAAGGGTGATGAGGATGAGGATGAGAAGATTAGGGAGGAAGAAGAAAGGCAGGCGAAGATAAGGGCTAAGAGAAGGAAAGGCGAAGCTAAGGAAGGAAGATCAAAACGGGATATGGCACCAAGCAAGAAGAGAAAGTACCAAACCTCGATCGAAGAAGGGGTGGATCTGGAAGGCCTGGTGAATAAACTACTGGAGGGGCACAATGAACTATTAAACCTGAAAGAAATCCTCGCTTCAGCTCCTAAGTTCAGAGAGATGGTGAAGGCTAGGTTATCACGCCGGAGAGTAGCCTCGGTCCGGATGGGGGATTTGATTCCCAAAGAGGCAAACTGGAGCGTGGCAGGGAGTAAAATGGACTGGAAATTCGTAGGCACAGGGTCCATTGATGTTATGATAAAGGGAAAGATGTGTCCTGGGATGGTTGATACCGGGGCAGAAATGAATATTGTAAATGGAGAAACCACGGTAAAATTAGGGTTGGAGGTGAATGAGAATGATTGCGGGTTTCTCAACGAAGCCAGCGGCAAGACCGGATACACCGGTGTCGCATCAAATGTGGTCATAGAAATAGGAAGAGTCAAGGTACGTACGTGCTTCTACGTCATGCCCAGCTTGGACCTTCCAATATTGCTGGGAAGGTCATTCCTGTGCAGATTTGAATCACTCATTATGAACAAACATGACGGCACTATGTTCGTCATCTTGTATAATCCTGCCTGTGGGAACTTCGAGGTTATCACCTGTAGGAACACAGACCCACACAGCTCGAAGAACAGACTCAATGCAGGATCTTACACGTTCGAGGAATCTGAGAATAGGAGGAGAGGATTGGAATAGGAAGAAGAAGAAGAGGAACAAGCTGATGAAGAAGCCAAAGGACTTGTATTAAGTCTAACAAATATCAGTGACGCAGTGGAACTGGTATCGGCTTATAAGATGGTTGATCCAGACGTAGTCAGGGCACTCGCAGAAAGGATCCAAGACGATCCAGAAGGGGGAAGAGTCGATCTCGTTTACCGGCCACCTCCTTCTACTCAGATGATAGTGCCGCATGCGCCGAATGCTCAAGCTGTCGGCCAACATTTTTTTAGGGGTGGGCTCAAGCAGGGCTCCAAAAGAAGGTACAAGACGGTAGATAAGAAGAGTCACCTTGTGCGAGTTCTAGTAAGTCAAGAAGAAGGGGTGTATTATGATCAGGAAAAAGAACTGATACAGCGAATGAGGGAAGGCATCCAGAACGGGCCTTGTCGTATCAACGATGAGACTGAGAAAAAACTGATAATAGGGGAACCTGGCTTTCTGACAAGGCAAGAGGAGGACTTGGTAAAAGAACTGATACGTGAAAAACATGGGGCATATGCCTTCAACGATGATCAACGTGGGAGGCTGGATGTAGACAAGATAGAAATGATCCGCATTCATACTGCACCTCATGAGCCATGGAATGCCCGAGGGGCTAAGTATCCCAACCCTGAGGATCGCAGAAGGGTGGTAGAATACCAAAATGGGAAGATCCGCACGGATGTGGCAGGGTACTCTAGTGGACCATATGCCTCTCCCTGGTTCTGTTTTGTAAAGCCAAATGGAGTTCTCAGATGGGTGAAAGACCTCCAACGACTGAACGCGGTAACTGTAAGGGATGCGGGGGGTCTGCCCGATGCAGACCAGTTATCAGAAGCTTGTGCAGGTAGGTCGATTGTGTCCCTCATCGACCTCTACTCTGGATATGATCAATTTCCAGTCTATCCGGCAGACCGTCCCATCACGGCGATGCAGACGCCAAGGGGATTAGTCCATATGAATGTTGCGCCGCAAGGATGGACCAATGTTGTGGCCATGGTGCAATGAAGCATGATCAGGGTAATGCAGCCGATCAGCCCTCAGATCACCAAGCCATACATAGACGATCTTGCTGTCAAAGGCCCAATAGAGAAGAATGAGTCCGAAGTGGCTTCAGGGGTGAGAAAGTTTGTGTGGGAACATGTTCAAGGGTTAAGAGGAGTCTTATCTCTACTAGAAGAGTACAACCTCACCGCCAGTGGTGTGAAGTCAAGACACTGCGTGAAAGAGGTAACCATTCTGGGATACATTTGCAACGAGCATGGTCGGCGCCCTGATAAGAAGAAGACCAATAAAATCCTGGAATGGCCTACTCCTTTCAGAAATGTGGGTGAAGTCCGAAGTTTTCTTGGTACCTGTGGGTTCTGGAGAAGATTCATAGAGAGATTTGCTAGTAAAACAGAGTATATAAGGAAGCTAGTCCGGAAGGATCAAGAATGGGAATGGGGAAACCATCAAGAGGAAGTGGTGGAGGAATTGAAGAAGGAGTTTAGAGAGGGAGGACTAGTATTAGGGGTACCAAACTTTGATGCAACTATGGAAAGGCCCTTCATAGTTGAGACTGACGCTGGACCAACCGCCCTGGGAGGCGTCTTGATTCAGGCAGACAGTGGAGGAAAGGAGAGGCCGTTGAGGTTTGAAAGCAGGACACTGAACTCAGCCGAGAGGAAGTACTCGCAGTTTAAAAAGGAAGCTTTGGCGGTCCTGCACTGCCTAAGGTTCTTTAGGCACTACCTCTTTGGGAGGAGGTTTGTACTTAGGATCGATCCTACGGCCCTTGTGTACTCACTCAAGAATTTCTCGCCCTCAGATCCGACCATAGCCAGATGGCTCACCTATATCTGGATGTTCGACTTCCAGTTAGAGCGGATCCCTGGAAACAAGAACAGGGCGGACGGCATGAGCAGAATTGAGTGGGGAAATCAGGGAGAAGCTAATGAAGAGACCCCTCCGGTAGACGGGTTTTTGGACGAAGGGGAAGACATGCGAACTCACGTAAACTGTTGGTTCATGTTTGTCGAGAGTAAGGAAATGAGGAGAGGAAATCCGATGTGGCATCCGCCTCCCGAATTTATGAGAGAGTCTTCCCTGATACTCACACCATTAGAGGAAGAGGACTCTTGGGGCGAAAGAAACACAGAATGGATGATGGATCTGGCTCTGGCAGAGAACTATAGGATAATGGAATAACCGCGAACAATCGAAGCGGGAGTCCAACAGACTGACGAACAGGTAGCCATGATGGGAAGAATGTACTACCTGACAAATTCACTGTTACAAGTCCAAGCGAATGATGAAAGAGGAATAGTGAAGGCCGATGAAATAATTATTGGGGATGATTACGAGTTTGATGAAGAGAATGAAGGAGAGTTTGAACAAGAAGAAATTTCAGAAGAATTCAGGGAAGAGGAGTATGATGGGTTCTATTTAGAAATGGGGTTGCTCCTCTCAGGAGATAAAAGAGAGAGAGAAGTAAGTGAAAAGACTCTCAGGATGAGAGACCACTATGTGGTAAGGGGTGGCCACTTGTTTATCAGGGATAAGAGGGGGCCGCCGCGACGTGTCGTATGTGGGAGGAATCGTCAGATTATCGTAGTAGCTGCATTGCACGATGGGATAGTCGGGGGACATCGGAGTTTCGCGGGTACTTACAAAAAGGCGATGGAGATCTACTACTGGGAAGGGATGTTTGAGATGACGCGAAAATACTGTGAGTCGTGTGTACCCTGTCAAATTCGATCGCCTATCAGGTACAAGGAACCCCTACATCCTAGATATATCAAGGAAGTAGGGGCGGTTGTTCACTTGGATCTACTGGCTATGCCACTAGGTCTTGGAGGATATAACTATATATTCAACGAAAGGGACAACTTTACAGGATTCATTGATTGCAGAGCGATCAGGAATAAGATCGGGGCAGCGCTGACGGATTGTATTAAAGAATATTATCTCAGATATCCTTTCGTATTGGAATTTACGATGGATAGGGGGTTTGAGTTCACGTGCGGGGAAGTGAAGGAACTGCTGAAGGAATTGGGGGTCAATGATAGCTATACGACTAGGGTTCATCCACAGGTGAATGCTCCAGTCGAGAGAGGCCATAGCACAGTTACTAACTTGTTGGCCAAACGGACGAGTGAGAAACCGAATCTCTGGCCAAAGTTCTTAAAAACAGTGTTCTTTGTGGAGAACATCACTGTAAAGAGAACGACTGGGTATGCACCTGCGACACTCTGGTATGGGCGTCACGCCACATTTCCTATTGAAAGCTTCCTGAAAACATGGCGCAGGCAGGACCTGGAAAATAACTTGACTTTGGAGGAATTGCTAGATCTAAGGGCAAGGCAGATCAGCGCCACTGAAGAAAGGGTGCAGGAAGCGGCCATGAACGTTGCGGACAGCAGGGGAAAGGATAAAGAAAGATGGGACAAGCTACCTAGAGTAAGACTCGAACCTCTGCAAGTTGACGAGACAATATTACTCTACGATTCCTCTCTGGAAATATAGTGGTCGCAGAAATTGGACAAACGGTGGCTGGGACCAGGGTTGTCGAGCCCCGGCCCCGGGGCCCCGGCGGGGTTCCGGGGTTCCGGGGTTGGGCACCCCCAACCCCGGCTCCAGACCCCCCCGCAAAAAAAAAA